AAACGCTATACAGGTTCTCTGTGTGTTAGAACTGACTCGACGGCACTTAACAACGAGAGACAAAGTCTGACTGCCTTGGCTTCCCAGGAGCATTCTGGCTGTACTTCTTCCAACACAGATTGGTTTGTTCTTTTGACTGCCCATGGTGCTTTTAATATTTTCCTTCAACACTATAAATCAGGTACATCAATTATTCTATGGTCTTCTTTATTCATTATCCAGCTTTCCCATGCATATGAGGTTATTGGAAATACCATCAGGCGCACCTTAGTCCTCAAACTGGTATCTTTGGTCTTGCACACTTTAAAGAGCTCTTGTGTGGCAGATTTTCCTAATGCAGTACATCGTTTGATTTCTTGAATGCTGCTTCTGTGTGTGTTGATGTTTAATCCAAGCAAAATGAAGTCCTTGACAACTTCAGTCTTTTCTCCATTTACATGGATGTTATTTATTGGTCCAGTGGTAAGGATTCTTGTTTTCTTTATAATGGGTTGCAACCCATACTAAAGGCTGTGGTCTTTGATCTTCATTAGTATATATTTTAAGTCCTCTTCACTTTCAACAAGCAAGGTTGTATCATCTATATATCACAGGTTGTCAATGAGTCTAACTCCAGTCCTGATGCCATGTTTTTCTTCATACAATACACCTCCTCAGATTATTTGCTCAGCATACGAATTAAGTAAATATAGTGAAAGAATACAACCCTGGTGCACACCTTTCCTAATTTTAAACCATTCAGTGTTCCCTTGTTCTATTTGAACAGTTGTCTCTTAGTCTATGTACAGAGTCCTCACTTAAGTGCTCCAGAATACTCATTTTCTGCAGTGTTGTCTATAGCTCATTATGATCCACACCATAGAAAGCCTTTGCATAGTCAATAAAGAACAGGTAAGCATCTTTCTGGTATTCTTTGCTTTCAGCTAAGATCTATCTGATGCCAACAGTGATAGCCCTCATTCCACGTTCTTGGCTGAATCTAGGTTAAACCTCTGGGAGTTCCTATCATTATATTTTTGTAGCGATTTTTGAAATCTTTAGCAAAATTTTACTTGCATGCAATATTAATGACATTCTCTGATGATTTCTCCATTACATTGGGTCAACTCTCTTTGGACTGGACACAAATATGGATCTATTCCAGTCAGCTGGCCAGGTAACTGTCATCCAAATTTCTTGGCAGGGATGAGTGAGTACCTCCAGTACCCCATGTGTGTGTTGAAAGATTTCAATTTGTATTTCATCATTTCTTAGAGCCTTATTCTTTGCCAGTACCTTCAGTGTACCTTGGACTTCTTCCTTCAGTATCATTGGCTCTTGATCATATGCTGCCTATTGAAATGGTTGAATAACATCCATTTCTTTTTGGTACACTGACTCTGTATTCCCTCCATCTTCTTTTGATGCTTTCTGCATTATTTAATATTTTGCCCATTTGTTGTTGTTCAGTGCCATTGACTCATAGTGACCCTGTATAGGGTTTCCAAGGAGCAGCTGGTGAATTTGAACCGCCAACCTTGTGGTTTAAACCAACCGTGTGGCCATTTTGGCCACAGAATCCTTCAGTATTTAAAGTCAAGGCTTGAATTTTTTCTTAATTCCCCTCAGCTTGAGAAATGCTGAGCATGTTCTTCCCTTTTGGTTTTCTAATTCCAGGTCTTTGTACACTTCATTATAATGTTTGACTTCTTGAGCTGCCCTTTGAAATTTTCTATTCAGCTCTTTTACCTCTTCATTTCTTCTATTTGCTTTAGCATCTTTATGCTGGAGAGCAAATTTCAGAGTCTCTTCTGGCATCCGCTTTGGTTTTTTTCTTCTTTCTTGTCTTCTTAATCATCTTTGCTTTCTTCCTGTATGATGTTCTTGATATCATCCGACAACTCTTCTAGTATTTGGTCATTAGTGTCTGTTTCATTAAATCTGCCCTTGAGATGATCTCTAAATTCAGGTGAGCTATGTTCAAGGTCATATTTTGGCTCTTGTGGACTTGTTTATATTTTCTTCAGCTTCACTGTGAAGTTACATATGAGCAGTTGATAGTCTATTCCATAGTCTGCCCTTGGCTTTGTTTTGACTAATGATATGGAGCTTTTCCACTCTGTTTTTCCACAGATGTAGTCAATTTTATTTCTTTGTGTTCTATCTGGTAAAGTCCAGGTGTATAGCATCAGTTTTGTTCTTTAAAATAAGTTATATGCATTATCCAAGTCATTTGTCTTTTAAAATCATGAGATCCTAAGCATCATTTCTATCACCAAGATCATATTTTCCAATAACTGACCCTTCCTCTTTCTTTCTAACCTTTGCATTCTAATTGTCAATAATTATCAATACATCTTGATTGCATGTTTGATCAGTTTTAGACTGAAGAAGTTGGTAGAATTCTCCAATTTCATCATCACTGGTTCTAGTGGTTAGTACATAAATTTGAAAAATAGTTGTATTAATTGATCTTCCTTATATGCATATGGAGATTATCCTGTTAGAAACAGTGTTTTACTTCCGGATAGATCTTTATGTGTTCTTTTTGATGATGAATGCAACACCATTCCTCTTCAGTTTGTCATTCCTGGCATAACAATCCTTGTGGTTGTCAGATTCTAAATGACCAATACCAGTCCATTTCAGATCACGCATGCTCAGGACATCAGTGTTTATACATTCAATTTCATTTTTTGATAACTTCCAATTTTCCTAGATTCATATTTTGTACATTCCATTTTCCAATTTTTAATGGATGTTTACAGCTGTTTCTCCTTATTACCCCATTAACAAATGAAGGCCCTGTGAGCTTTACTCCATTCACGACATCACGGTCAACTACATCACGGTCAACTCTATTTTGAAGAGGCATCTCTTTTGCAGTCGTATTTTGAGTGCCTTCCAACCTGAGGGGCTCATTTTCCAGCACTATATCTGACAATATTCTGGCACTCTTCATCATGCTTCAGTTTTCAATATTCTGGTGTTGACAGTATTCAACTGATGTTCATAAGGTTTTCAGTCGCTAGATATTCAGAAGTAGTCCGCCTCTCCTTATTCCTATTGTATCTTAGTCTAGAAACTCATTTGAAACCTGTCATCCATAGCTGACCCTGCTGATATTTAAAATGCCGGTGGCATAGCTTCCAGAATCACAGCGACATGCAAAATAACAATTGTCATAACCTTTTAGCTGACCTCTCTACCTTGAACCTGAACTAGTCCAGCAGATCTCCTCGGAAACCCGTTTAATTGGACCTTGCTCTGTGGATCACATTGATAAATCCAAGATTCATCTCCCTTTCTGATTCATTCCATAAAATCATCTTCCATTAGCTTTCATCTTGCTTAAAAAGAGGCTGATGGGATAACCAGCTCTTTGAGCTAGGTGATTTTCATCCAGTGCTTTTACAAAGCACCCATCCAACAGAAATGTTACTGACGTCAAGATGGTTGTTTCAGATGAAAAGCACTGAACCATACAAGATCCTAACTTCAGTAACAGTTACATCGATGGTAAGTCTATGGTCTTTCTTCCACCAGTTTCTGGACTATGACCACAGTTTCTTCATTTATCAAGGTTTTCTTCACTTGGTTCATTTTTGAGGTCTCTCTAACCTTCATGAAAATGCTTAATTTATCTAAAAATTGTTGTTCTGTGGGCCAGCATTCCCATAATCTTGTTATAAAGCTTTAGTGAATATATGAAATATATTTATGTGTTGTGTTGTTAAATGCTGTTGAGTTGGTTCTGACTCATAGCGACCCTGTACAGTATAGGTTTCCAAAGAATGACTGGTACGTTTGAACCTCAGACCTTGTGGCTTGTGGTTGAAACCAACCTTTCAGTCCAGTGCTTTATCTGAGTGTCACACCAGAAATATATGAAATTTGAGTCAACAGATAGTGGAAAAAATATATTTTATTACCAGGATTTTCATATGCCTAGAGCATCAACTTATTTATTTCTATGTCTTTGATTATCTAAGACCTAGTCTTTCTGTGATACATTCCTAAAGTCTTTTTTCCTCACTTACTTGAACTTACTCTTTATTTCCCTCATCTGGAGTTCAGTCACTGTGTCCTGATGCCTAATTGTTTATGTGTCCTCAACCCTCAACCCTCTATGATAAGGATTGTTTTATGATGGTCTCTTGAGGATAGTGAAGGGAATTGATCATATAAGAAAGCTGCAAAAAGTCCCTTATCTTTAATTTCTGTTTTTCAGTAAACGTTTTGAATTCCCCTTGTATATAGTCAGATTTGTGGGTCTTTAGAGTAATTGTCCCAGAAATTTAGTTCCATTTAATAAATACGTATTGAATACCTAGCTGGGCATACTATGAGAGCTTAATTCAAAATCCATGTCTTTGGAAAACTCACACCGTAACAGTGGCTCCATGTGGTGCAGATACATATATCCTTTTTTTTTAACCTAAAAATTCTGTTACAATTATTTCTTTATTAAGTGCCTGAGAATTATATCTAGGTTGAACTTCTGTTAAATTTTGAACACCTGATGCATTATGGTCTCATTTTCTTTAGTGTATGTGCTACTGAGGTGAAATTATTTGCATATAATAATTCTGAAAATTTGATGGAATTATGCAACTAATATGAAAATACTGTTGGTAGTTTGTTGGTCACAGTAATATAATTTGCTATACCAAATATTCAGTTCAGCAATATGCTTTTTTCTGTTTTCTGTCTATAATATTGAAAAATAGTATCATACAGAGGAAGAAAACAGGAAGAGGGTAACTGTCTTTCATCTCTGAGGGAGAAGAGTTTACTTAAATTTATAATCATGTGATTTCAGGCTTTAATCAGCTGTTAAGACTGATTGTAAAATCATAAAGAGGTGTTTTAAGTTTATTCTGTTCATCAAAAATTTGAAAGCATAAGCACAAAGAAACACTGTTTGTAAAATGAGTATGCCGCTTTAAAATAAGTTGTATGGAAAGTACTGTCAAAATAAGCTGGGTTTTTTATGCTAATTTTTGTAACTTCTTTTTAAGGATGCTGGACAGTTTTATGCTAAATATAAAGAAACAAAACTGAAGGAAAAGGAAGCTGCACTGACTAGAGCTGAACTTGAAACACTACAAAGTGAGTTTTAAACGTCTTAACTACGTTAATGTTATCATGTAAATTTTTTCAAATTTGGAATTTTTTCTTAAATTTAACAGTAATTGAATTTCCCTTACTTTCTTCACCATTCCCTAGTCATTTGTACTCAATTTACTGTAAGTAGAAAATGCTTTAATACTAATTGTGTTATTAATTGTCATTATCAGGAAGAAGAATAAAATCAATATGGGTCATATAGGTCCTCAAGTCTAATGTTGTTGCTATGTACTATAGAGTTGGTTCCAACTTATAGCAACCCTGTATAGGGTTTCCAAGGAGCGGCTGGTGACTTTGAGCCACTGACCTTGTGGTTCACTGCATTATTTTACAGTGCCACACCAGGATCCCAAGTTTAATAGGTGTCCAAAATTTGCTAGGTATGGTGCTGTATGTTAATGTGCTGGACTGCTACATTGGTTGTAACCTCAAGACTGGTGGTTCCAGTTCACTAGCCATTCCTTGGAAACCCTATACAAGATCACTATGAGTCGGAACCAACAACCACCTCAGGACTATAGCTGTAATTGATATTCACTGCCAGGTCTAACAAGCTGATTATCCAACTTGGTAATATTATAATAGTAATAAATTGAAAAATCTAAAGATAATCAATGATTTTTATTTTGAATGTTGTTTTTTATTTGCAGTGTTATGTATAATATGAAAAATCTGGAATAAATTATCAGTATGTTGCAATGAGAGCTTTCATTGAACATTAAAGACAGTGTATAGTTCTTGCTCATTATAGGAAAAGTTGAATATATTATTAAAGTAGGCCTTCTCCCCAATCTTGGTCCACTTGTCTAATTTTGCCATATCTACATATTCCTACCCATATAAAGCTTTTTACTTCACTTACTTTCTTTTTGCTCAGAGTGCATATAACACTGCTTTTTTTTTTTTTTTTTAAACCATCTGATTTTCCCAATAGAATGTAAGCTCTATGAAGATGAAAGTTTCATCTGTTTTGTCCACTGCTATGTCTATCCATGGAGTCCTGATGGTACTGTGGGTTAATATGCTGGACTTCAAGGTCAGTTTGAACCCCAAGGTTGGCAGTTCAAGCTCACCAGCAGCTCCTCAGAAACCCTACACAGGATCTCTATGACTTGGAATCAACCAACGGCACTTTTACAACAATAATATCTACCCAAATACCTTCAGTGTTGTTGTCAAGTGCCATCAAGTTAGTTTTAAATCATAGTGACCCTGTATATGGTTTCCAAGGAGCCACTGGTGGGTTTGACCCATCAACCTTGTGGTTAGAAATCCAGTGCTTATCCTGTAGCGGCATACCAGGATTCCCTAAAATAAAAATAGTCTTTGGCATATAGGAGGTGCTAAATAAGTACTTGTTGACTAATGTCCTGGAGGTGAAATTGCTATTCTCTTTTAAAATCACCATGTGATTATTCCTGGTTCAGTTTTCATTTCCCTTTATTTGGACTCCTAAAAATATATGTGGTATGCATGGTACTAATCTAAGCACTGGAGACAATACAAAGATAATTAATACCCAGTTATTTCATGCCTATTAAGCACATACAGAGCCATGCATAATTTTGCACAATAAGTTGTATGTTTTTGAGCATATGCAGTAAAAGCTATGTCTGAAGCCCATAGTAGTAGTTTAGCCAGATCAAACTGGAACAGGGCAAATGTGATATCAATATAATATGGTGCTTCACAATTCAATACAGAAAAATAATTATAGCTATTTCCCTTCACCATCACTCATCTGTCAATTTGTTGTACTGTGGTGGCTTGTGAGTTGCTGTGGTTCTAAAAGCTATGTATGCCAAGGGTGTTTTAAATGTCAGCAGGGTCACCCACAGTGGACAGGTTTCAGATGAACTTCCAGATAAACACAGACTAGGAAGAAGAAGAGACAAACTACTTGCCAATATTTAGTCACTGAAAACCTCATAAATAGCACAGAAACACTGTCAGATATAGTGCTGGAAAACAAGCCCCTCAGTTTGGAAGGCACTCAAAATGCCACTGGGGAAGAGCTGCCTCCTCACAGTAGAGTTGACCATGATTATGTGAATGGAGTAAAGCCCATGGGAGTAAAGCCTGTGGGACCTTCATTTGCTGATGGGGCACAATTCAAAATGAAGAGAAACAGCTGTAAATATCCATTAATAATTGGAACATGAATGTATGAAGTATGAATCTAGTAAAATGGGAAATTGTCAAAAATGAAATTGAGCACATTAATATCGATATCTTAGGCATTAGTGAGCTGAAATGGACTGGTATTGGTCATTTTTAATCTGACAACCACATGGTTTACTATGCCAGAAATGCCAAATTGCAGATGCATGCGAAAGCTGGACAGTGAATAAGGAAGACCATAAAATAATTGATGCTTTTGAGTTATGGTGTTAGAGGAGAATATTGAAATACCATGGGCTACCAAAAGAACCAACAGATCTATGTTGGAAGAAGTGTAGCCAGAGTACTCGTTGGAGGTCAGAATGGTCAGATTTTGTCTCTCATATTTCAGACATAGTGTCAGGAGGGACCAGTCATTGGAGAAGGTGGTAAGGTGGACAGTCTGAGAACAAGAGGAAGATCCCCAGCGAGATGGATTGGCAAAGTGGCAGCATCAGTGGTCTCAAGCATGGCAACAATTGTGAGGTTGGCCCAGGATCAGGCAGTGTTTCATTCTGTTGTGTGTAGGGTCGCTATGAGTCGATACCGACTCAATGGCACCTAACAACATTTCCCTTCAGATACTGAAAACCCCAGATTTTCAACTTTACCCTGACACTCGACTATATATGAGGAGAAGGAAAAAATGTTTTCTCTCTAAACCCAAAATTACATTGCCACTACCTAAATATGTGGCTTTGAGGATTTTAGTTTCCTTATCTGTTAAAAGAACATAGTTGTTTTCTAATGCTGTTGTAACAAATTATCAGAAATTCATCAGAGTCTTGGTTGTGGTGCTGTACACTAATGCGTCAGATGGCAAAGTCATTTGAACTACAAGGTTGGTGGTTTAAGCTCACTAGCTGCTCCTTGAAAACCCTGTACAGGGTCGCTATGAGTCGTAATCGGCTAAACGGCACTTAACAACAACAGTGGTTAACATACAAATTTTTCAGAAGAGTTGTGTTCCTTTCTGGAAATGCTAGGGGATAATCCATTCCCTTGCCTTATACAGTTCCTAGAAACCAGCCACATTCTTTAGGTAATGACTCCTCTCCTCCCTGGTCAAAGCTAGTAACATGGCATCTCTCTCACTATTCTTCTGTAGTAACATCTCTTTGTGACCATGGCTTGGAAATGTTCTCGGCTTTTGAGGACTAGAGTGATTACATTGCACCCATTTGGGCTAGTCACAATTGTCTCTTCAGCTTAAGTTCCCTTTGCCATGTAAAGTGTCATATTCAAAGGTTCTGAGGCTTAGGGATTGGCCATCTTTTGGGGTCACTTTTCTGCCTGTCACAATCCCTAAGCTGTCAGGGAAGCTTAAGAACAAAGATTGTTTTCTTTTTCATGTTGTAGCTTGTAGCATTGAACTTAATATCCTGTCACATAAAAAATATTCAGTAAGTGACTGAATAGATGGATAAATAAATGAATGTAAGCTATGAATACTAATTAAAGAGTACCAACTGATCACCTGTCCTGAAACGAACACATTTCAAGGAGCACATAATTTAGTTTAAGAAGATTCAATGTTTACAAGTAAAAAATAATGTTCAGATCAACTATATGAAGGGGTTTCAAAAAAATTCGTAGAAAACTGGAATTTTTCCACCAATTTTTTGATACTTCCTCCTGTATTTGGTTGCAGCAGACTTTTGTTAAAAGGGAAAAGTATAGGATGCTACAAGTTTACATAGTGAGATTGACGTGTGTGTTGGGGGTAGAGTAAGAGAATCATCATTGTTTTTATATTAAATTTAAGATTAACAAAGTAGTTGATGTTATGATAATTATTGAAATGGCTTTAATTACATTAAATTAATGACTGAATTAAACTCTAAGATACATTTTATAGTCATTATTTTAAAGTACCAAGTTCTACACATTTTCTAAACATGTAAAAACTAATCAAAAGTAGGATAAAAGTCAGATTTATAAGAGAAAAAATATCAAACTAACCCAAAATCTACATCTGTAGGCAAAAAATGAATATACTTTATTTAGTAGAATATACTATATTTGGAGTCCTGGTAGGGTAAGCACTGGAATGACTGCAAGGTCATTTGCACCCCAAGGGTGTCAATTCAAACTCAACAGCTGCTCCTCAGAAAACCTGTACAGGGTCTCTGGGAGTAGGAACCTACTCAGTGGCACTTAACATACTTTGTTAGGTGCCATCAAGTCGGTACCGACCCATAG